TTTATTAAAACCAAAACGTCATCGTTTTGTTTAAACGGAACCCGTTATGTATTAATAGTAATAAAAGATTTACCAACGTTTAAATTGAGTGACTTCATTTATAGGAGGATCAATTAAGAATTTAGGGCATGACTCTCCACCATGAACACTAAATTCACCTACAAAATATTATGATATTAACAGATTACATATTCATTCAACATGTTATAACAGTTTTGTGTTAAGAATTGGAATTAAACCGAATTTTAACTAACCGTTACTCTGATGGGTAACCCGAAAACATTGAAAAACAAAGATCCTTTCAGAGCTATCCCATTGCTCTTCCAACTCTTTTGCAAGTTCTCCATAGAGACTCTATGAAACAGTTAGTTAAAATTCGAACAAAAAAAAATGATGTTATCTCATACACAAATCAAAAACAAAAGAAAAGAAGTTGTAAGGGATTTTTGTGTTTTCTTAACAATGATCCATTGATCGTTTTCCCCGAAGAGAAGAGAATGGTTTGACTTAGAAGCCACAACCAACGTTCAAAAACCAAGAGGAGTTACAAGTAGAGTTATGAGAATTGATCTCAACTTTTAATTACGTGAATAAATTTTGATTTGAATCAAAATTGAATTGATTTTTTAACGTTATATCATTCATTCACAACTGAAAGTCTTTAACGTGTCAAACAAAATCAATTAATGGAGATATTATAGGTTTTAAACAATTATATAATTCAAAAATAATAGTCTAAAACTAGTTGTTTTATCCATTTGCCTATTTGCCAAATTTCGAAGCCCAAAACCAAAGTGCGGTCCGAGTATCTCATTTTCCTTGTTATATACTTAAGAATTTTCATCCAAACTTCTAATGTGGGACATTGAGTAGTTTTTACGCTTAGCCAAATTTAAAAGCTTTTAAAGCTTTCCAAGTCACCCATTTTGGACCCCCATTTTGGACATCTATTTCTCATTCAAACCAATTCCGATTATAACAAGTATATACATATACACTACGTTATAGTGCTCACGACAACGATTCCATCGTGCCCAAAATCCGGTTATTTTGATGAACGTCTCCACTGAAAACCAATTAGAAAATGGTCTAAAACCATTTCGTAAAAACGAGTTCCAACATTTTTTTATAGCTGATTAACAACACATATTTGATGGTGGTTCAAAAATTAAGTTACTAGCATTGAGAAAAGTGGAGTAATCTGGCATCAATGAGAATGTAACAAGGGATCTCATGTAACAATTAATAACATGAGAAAAGTGAATGTGCCTCTTGTCTC